ATCATTAACTAACATAACTGTTAAGACGCTTGTTTTAATTATTTTTATTTCATTAATTATATTTATCTATTATGCTAGTCATAATTTTTATTAGGGTATTATTAATTTTAACTATAAAACCTAATTCACCGCCCCTTTTAGATTGTCTTTTGGGTAACAATATAGATAATCTTTAGAGCATTATATAACATTCATTTATTTGAAAAATCAAAACTATTTTAAGTAATCGAATTTCCAATATTGACGTTTGACTATTCCAATGAGACGATTTTTCCACGTTGAAAACGAAAGGTCACTACATACATTCTGGATGTGAAAAAACTTCTTAGTTTTTGAATTGAATTGTCCAAGAATTTAGAAGAAAAAAATAAAAAATAACTTCTACCTAACATATAGCAATACTTTTCCAAGTGCCTGTCATGGTTGATAATTATAAGTTAAAACCCATATGCTCTAATGCTAATCTCTTGACAAGTACTTCCTTATCATTTACTGCGAAGGTGTAGGAGATCAACCCAAATTGAGTTGGCAGCCACATGGAAGGGTGGCCAACCCACATGGTAAAAGGAAGGCAAAAGAGGTTGGCATGAGTTGGCAAGCCATGAGGCTTGAGTTGGCAGCCATGAGGCTTGCCATGCGCCAGCAACAAAGGAGAAAGCATGGAGTTGGCCATGTGAAGTCTTCACATGGTGGGACAAAGCTTTCAACTGGACAGCAGCTCAAAGGAGAATATTGGGCTGGCAGCCAACACACCCATGAGGCCTCCTCCACCTTCTGTTTTGGTGTATAAAATAGAATGGTGATGGTGAGTTGAATACACGGCAAACATAGCAAGCAAGAGAGAAACACACTGCTGAGAGAGAGGCACAAAACAGAGAGAGCTAGTGAGAGCTATATTCTGTTTGTGTATCAGAGAGTGTGAGAGAGTGTGTTATATAGAGAGACAGTGAGTTGAGAGTGTGTAATCTCCTCCATTTGTTGATATATAACAACATCGCTCCCGTGGACGTAGGCCGGTTTGCCGAACCACGTTAAAACTCTTGTGTTTTTGCTTGTGAGTGTCCCCTGGTGTGCCCACGATTCGCAACAATTGGTATCAGAGCCCGGGTGGAGAAAAATCGAGTTTTTTCCGAAAGTGTCCAGATTTCGAAGTGGTCGAAATCCACTTTTGAGCATACCAGGAGGAAGGTCAGGAGGAGAGGAGTCCAAAACTTCAAACCACAGGCCAATCGGAGCTCTAACGCGCCGCCACGCGCCACCTGAATATCGAGAGTGAAGGCCACTCTCACCCACGCGCCCCACGCGCCGACGAAGGAAGAAGACGAGTGGGGGCGCGCGTGAAGCTGACGTCAGGCTGACGTCATCCTGAGCCGAGCCGAGCCGTCGAGCCGTTGACCGCGCCGCTGACCAGGCCGAGCCGCGCCGGAGCCGCGCCGCCAGCCAAGCCGCGCCGCTGAGCCGCCGTTGACCGCGCCCCTGCGCCGTTGACCGAGCCGCTGACTGCGCCGTTGACCAGCCGATCCGGAGGAATTATCTGGTGCTTCTCAGGCGCACCAGATTCAGCAAATCTGAACCGTTGAAACTGTTTTGGCTAGATCTAGGCCATTCGGAGTCCGTTTTTTGGCGATCCAATAGTGCGTTCCAACTATTTGAAATATTCCGGACCCATCCGTACGGTCAGATTCTTAAATCGGAATTTCTTTAAAAAGGGAAGAAATTTACAATGGCAGGAAAAGGCGCAAGTTTCATGATTGAGCCTTTTAATGGTAGTAATGACTTTACCCTGTGGCAGCAAAGGGTGAAAAACATTTTAACACGAGAAGGTCTGGTGAAAGCTCTTCTCAAAAAGTCCAACAAACCGGAAGACATGAAGGATGACAAGTGGGAGGAGTTGAGGGAATTGGCAAACAGTACAATTCAGTTGTATCTCGGGAACAACACACTCCGGGAAGTCATCAGTGAAGTAGATCCGGCGGAGCTATGGGCAAAGTTAGAGATGAGGTACAAGTTAAAGTCTTTGACAAACCGGTTATCTCTGAAGAGGTAGCTATATACACTTATAATGCCAGAAGGTGCGAACCTCACAGAACATCTGGACGAGTTCAATAGGATCACAATGGAATTGGACACCATTGGAGACAAGACCCAGGAGGAAGATAGGGCTATGATCTTGTTGGTCTCTCTACCTGCATCATATGAGCATCTCAGGACAACTCTATTGTACGGGAAGGATGCTCTTGGACTGGATGAGGTGATTGCTACGCTCATTTCTCATGAGTCGATGAAGAAACAGGAAGGTAGCAGTAGCAAACACCCAGAAGGAAATGCCATGGTTGCCTCAGAAAATGAGCAAGGCAGAGGTAGGTCCAATGATAGACGGGGTAGATCCAAATCAAGAGGACGTTCGCAATCAAGGTTAGGCTTCAGGAGAAAGTGTTATTACTGTGATCAGGAGGATCACCTCATAAAAGACTGTGCAAAGCTCAAGGAGGACAAGGCACACAAGGAACAGGCGAGCTCATCAAATGTCGCTGCTGCTGTAAATGCTAAGGATGAGTATGCATTTACAGTTTCGTCGAGTATGACGAAACCTGACTGGATCTTAGATTCCGGAAGCACATATCATATATGCATGGATAAGAAACTTTTTTCTACCTACCAAGCCAAGGATGGAGGTATTGTTCGAGTGGCTAACAACACTGTGTGTAAGATTGTTGGCATGGGAACAGTACGGCTGAGAATGGAAGATGGAAAAATTTTCACGTTGGATGGAGTCCGACACGTGCCAAGACTGAAGAAGAATCTAATTTCCTTAAGTATGCTAGACATGAAGGGTTATAGCTTCACATCTAGTAAAGGAAATCTCAAAGTCATCCATGGAGATACGGTGATGCTACATGGACGACTGGAGGGGAATCTGTACAGGCTTGTGGAGAAGGTTGTGACAGACGGAGCTACTGTCACTTACCGGGCAAGACGTACAAGACATGCACAGAAGAGACATAGGGCCCAGCAGACATGGCAACCAAAGTGTACAAGAACGCATGGAGGCAGTTCGGAGGTGCACAAGACGGAGCCATTGCGGTCAATTTTAAAGACAGCTTAGAGCAAAGAGACCAAGACAGCAAAGCATGTCCCAGGGAAGAAAGTTTCTTTTGCTCCTGAATTAGAGACATATTGGGATCTCTCCAAGACTGGATGGAAGGGAGAGATGCCATCTCAAAGAGTTGCAAAGTAAGCTTTGCATGGCACCCCAGTGAGGGGGTGCCGGGCACTCCAGGCAGGGGGTGCTATTATGGATCACCTCATATGGGTTGAGGGGGTGATTTGTAGGAGATCAACCCAAGTTGAGTTGGCTACAGAGATTCTGGCCATGTGAAGGAAAGTAGCAGCCAGCTACATGGTGGGGAAGCCATGTGAGTTGGCCATGAGGCCATGAAGCAATCTGGAAAGCCACCGAAATGGGCTGGCAGCCAGCTCATTTCAAAGGGTGCCTCTTGCCTTTGTAATCTCTATATATAGAGAAGTGATGGTGAGTTGAATCAGACGGCAAACATAGCAAGCAAGACACACTGCTGAGAGAGAGGCACAAAACAGAGAGAGCTAGTGAGAGCTATATTCTGTTTGTGTATCAGAGAGTGTGAGAGAGTGTGTTATATAGAGAGACAGTGAGTTGAGAGTGTGTAATCTCCTCCATTTGTTGATATATAACAACATCGCTCCCGTGGACGTAGGCCGGTTTGCCGAACCACGTTAAAAGTCTTGTGTTTTTTGCTTGTGAGTGTCCCCTGGTGTGCCCAAGATCCGCAACAGAAGGTGTACCACTAGCTGGTGTCACAAACAATGTAAGCCACATTATCGTTTTGACCAAAATTATACACTTTACAAAAAGATTTTACAACAATAATATTCTCTTCTTTGATATCACTGAATAATAAAATAAAATATCATAAATAGAATAAATGGACAATTCTTATTTTCTGTTAATGTAATCTTATTGTATCATTATTACAATATTTAAATGGATAAATTACACTTTACACTTCTATATTTTACATTTCATTTCATCTTGTTCCCTCATCATTAATTCTAGACTGAGTCAAGTAATTATTTGATCCCTTTGTTTAATGTCGTGAGAACAACTACACGTGATAATATTAATTACACTTACCACCTATGTACTTTTATCAAAATCCTACTTTAATCCCTCTACTTTAGGTTTTAGTAGTCCTATACTTTTTTCAAAATCTTATTTTAACCTTCACTATAATTTTTCTATCAATTTTTTAGACGACTTTATTCAATTGTACCCAATTGTAACTTGACTAGAAGTGCAAGAGTAGGATAGGATTGACTTGAATAATTAAAAAATTAAATGACAAAATATGTTTCGGTATAGAGTATAAGGTGCAAAGCGACCAATTTTGCAAAGTGACTTATTTAAATTATCATTGTTGACCATTACCTACCCACTAAAAATGGTTGAACAAAGGCCTTCCAGTGCAAGTGGTGTAAGATGCCATAAACCAAATCAGCCACCAAAAAATAGAAAAACAGAGGAAAAAAAGAACAGCTGAACTGGGGTAAACAAAAATAATTTCTAAAATTTTAGTGTTTAGCTCAATAGAATAAATGTTTGGTTCGTCAAAAAAAATATTGAAAAATGCAATACAACTAGAATCATTATTGATCATTCTAGAAGAAAAATCATTTCATAAAAAAAAAAACTAAAAATAATCTTTGGATTTCACTTTCATTCCAGTGTAAAGAGTCTTGTGTTCGACTTTTTGCTTCCCGAAGTGCTTGTTTTTATCCTACTATATGTGTAAGATCCCACCCATGAGAAATGCAAGCAATCAAGAAAATTATACCTTTGACCCTAAACAAAGACTGATTGAACAAACTTTTGGAACAACGAGTGACCATCCTATAGTTATTTTACTAAGTTATATGTCAAACTCACTCATCAAGAAATCACTTCCTCACAACCAACCATAGCTATGGCTGTTTTCAACTCATGGAACTCCCCCCTCCGATCACATACTTTCCTTTGTTCTCTTTTCTTCTTCTACTTTGTGATCACCCTTTACTACTTCCCTCTTCATGCAAATGCACTGAACTTCAACCTCACCAATATTGATCCAACGGTTAAAAATATCGTCATAGAAGGAGATGCTTATGTTTCCAACAAAGGCATCCAAATCATCCCTGTAAACGAAGTGTGGAAAGCTGGTCGAGCCACATATAAAGATCCTCTTCACCTTTGGGATAAAGCTTCTGGAAAACTTACTGACTTCCACACCTATTTATTGTTTGTCATTAACTCAGAAGGGAACTCGAGTTTTGCAGACGGGTTTGCACTCTCCCTCGTTCCTAATGATTTCACTCCGATGAACGCATTTGGTGCTGCCATGGGTCTTCCAATCTTGTCAATCTACCCCCCCAAACAGACTCCATTTGTTGCTGTGGAGTTTGATACCTTTCAGAATGTGGATTGGGACCCACTCAACATCACACCGGTGACTCATGTAGGTATCAGTATCAACTCTCTCAAATCGAATGTTACTGCAATATGGCACAATAACATAACACATGGAAAAGATAATGAAGCTTGGATAAGTTATAATTCTAAATCCAAAACTTTGAGGGTTGTTTTCACTGGATATATAAATAATAAGAGAATTGAAAGTTCCCTTAGTTATCAAGTTGATCTCAGGAAATACTTACCAGAATGGGTTACAGTTGGCGTTTCAGCTGCGACAGGAGATTGTTTTGAGAAACATATTGTTAAATCATGGTCGTTCGATTCAAGTTTGTAAATTGATGTGCCAGCCAATCCCAGTCCTGGTCCCAACCCCGGCCCGAGTCACTGAGTGAAACCAAATCTCAATACCAGCCCCAGTCTAAGTCCCGATGCAGTCATGACTTGGGTGTTTCAAGTTTTCAATGTCTCTTCTACAATAAAATCCTCTGCAACTTCCAATTAATCTGCATCACTTTTATATACATGAATAAGTTGATTAGTAATGTTGTGGTTAATGTATAAGTTGATTAAAACATTTCCAGTACAATATTTTAATACGTGTAAGCTAGTTTTTGTTAGTACGGTATGTGCTACAAATATGTATGCCAGTGTTTGTTTTGAATTTATCACCATAAACATTTTATATTTGTTCATGATTATGAAATGTTAAATACACTTACTACGAATATGATGCTTCTTGTAATAACTATATAGAATGTGTATTTATCTAGAGAGGATTTTCCAGACTTTCCATGAGTACGACTCTTAGCGGTTGAGACATAACTAACACCAAATTTCTACAACTAGAACCACGTTCCTCGTAACCAAATTGGTGTTGATTATGTCTCAAAATTGATTGTGCTTAGGTGTTTAGCACTTGCACCTTTTTTCTCCTTTTAATTGATCGGTAAGCTAAGAAGCATGGAGTCGAACACGTGACGCGATACGGATATGACACGGACACGCTGACGCATTAATTTTCAAAAATACAAGATACGACACATGGGGGACACGCATGAAATATATAATTATATATATATATATATATTATTCAAAGATAATAAAAAATGCAACATGACATTAATTCCTATAAATTTATATGGGTTTTGTTTTATTATTGTATTTTAAGTTGTTTTGTTCAAACTTATAATTAGTTTCATTTGTGTCTAATTGATAGACATGTGTGTTTAAGTGATTGACACGTGTGTCAAGTATCCAAAGATTGTCTGGGTCTTTTAAAAAAAATTAAAAAATAGGACACGCTTTGAAGAATGTCAGACTTGTGTCCTAAGAGTGCCCAATGAGTGTCGGTGTCCGGCATGGACACGACACGGATACGGATACGTTACCTTCTTCGAAGTGTCCATGCTTGTTAGTCGGTAGGTCCGAAATTTCTTTTTGGGCCCCTCATATTGGGCCTCGTTGTTAGTTTGGGCCTTTTGTATTTGGCATCAAAATTTGAAGGCCCAAGGCACAAGGGCCTTGGGCCTATTTTGGCAATAAATAAATAAATAAGTCACATTTTTTTTCCCCTCAATTTGTTTGTCTTGGGTGATTTTTTATTAAAATTATGTCAAAATTTTTTATTTTTCTAGTCTGTTTTGCCGGGACGAATCTAAAAAGTATGTTTTTTTTTTCTTTGAAAAATTTCAAAAAACAAAAAAAAAAAAAAACACTGAAGACAAAAATAAGCCCAAAAAAATTGCTTATTTTGGCTTATTTTTGTCTTTTCTATATATATATATATATATATTTTTGGATTGTTTACAAAAAAACACTAAAACTTTTTAAATTTTTTTAAAAAAAAATCATTAAAGATGAAAATAAGCCAAAAAAGCCACTTTTCAAAACATTCCTTTTATATTATCTGTGCTCAGGGCCGGGCCTGACTACCGATAGAAGAAACAAGTTATACCACTAGTCTTTATAATTTTTTTTAGTTTTTTTTTTATCCTTTTAGTTTTGAGGACTCGAGGCAAAATTTTATCATTAACTAATGAATAGATTTAAATGAACTGAGAGAGTGAAAGACAAGATCAGATCCCACACTACTCATTTGAAGACTTAATGACATTGCCCCGTACTTGTTCCGATTTGACTTTTGCTAAGAGTGCCCAAAATTTTAAATTCTTACTTAAGCCCATATCAAATTAAATATATACTGTTCAAATCGTAAAAAAAAATTGAAGTAGATTCGAATTACTCCTGTTAAGCTTACCTAAATTGCTAATTGATCCTACCGCTGCACAACTGTGATTGGTAGTGACATCAATTTATTTATTTTTATTTTTTTTAAGGTACATCGGAAAGAAAGTGATTGGTAGTGACATCACGGCCGGTTTCGTAACCGAAGCTTATCAATTAGGAGCTCAATTTTTTTCTTCCTCGGTCAACAATAAGAAGATATATAGTAATAATACTTTGTTGAGCTAATGTCAAGTATAAAAATTTAGGGTTAGGATTATCTCAGGTTGAGATCTCAACATGACATAATTTGATTGGTTTATAGGGTTTATTATGGGTTCTATTTTGATGATCTGAACTATTTATTTGTAAAGTTCACAATGTATATTATTCATAAAAAAAGAACTAGTTCGATTCAATAATCATAACTTTTTTAATTTATTACATTTATGTCTGAAAAAATGGACAACAAATATACTTTTGAAATAGACTGTTTATTTTTTTAGGAATAAATGTGATAAAATAAAAATGTTATGACTATCAGATCGCCCTAAAACTTTTCATAGATATTACACATTGCGGACTCTACAAAATGAACGATTCAGATTATCGAAACGAGACCTTTGTTGGGCCCTATGAGCCCCTTAAGTTCTGTCATGTTGAGATGCTAACCTGAGAAACCCAACCAAAAAATTTAAATATTCATTTCAATTGTAAACATTTGTAATTGACCAGATGAGTTTTAATTTTTTTTTTTTTTTAAGAAGAGATGATTTCAAATTTTATTTTCTTTTTGAAGTACTTCTCCAAGATTGCTTTAAAAAAAATATGAAAAGCCATAATCAAAATTCTAATTTTATCCCAAATTACCACAAATCAAAATTCCTAATTATAGCACATCAAAATTATCAATTTTAGCACAAATCACCACAATTCACAACTTGGACACATTATTATATGTAGAACACAACATATTCTTAGTTCAATAACTCAAAAGTGTCACAAAATAATTCTTCTAGTGACATTTTTTAATCTTGTAACGTTTTCAACAAGTGTCATTGATACACATGCCATGGTAGTGCTGTTGGCACTTCGGTGACACTTTTAAGTGCTACTACAACATGAATGCTAAAGATTTTTAATGACACTTCAAGGGCTACAAATTTTTTTTTTAATTCGTGTAATATTAGTAACTCCAAATTGAAACCTGGCCAAATATCCAAATATCCATTAATTTCACAACAGAACACATAAAGACCCCCCCCCCCCAAAAAAAATAAAATAAAAAAATTTGAGGGTCCAAATTTTATTATAGAATGTATTGGGTCAAGTTGTAAATAACAAAATCTTATCAATTTGATTAGTGCAACACATGGACCCACACTACGTAAGTACTTGTGATGATTGCTGGTGTGGGAGCATGATTTTTTCCATTGGGTTTGCTCTGTGGTGTTCCTTTGTACTCGGTTCATATTTAATTTGGTTGGTTTCTCGCCACTAGCTGTCATTTCTTGGTGCTTGCATATGATTTGTGTGTGTTCATGTCCCAACCTAGTTGTGATATGTTAACTTCACTATGATGCTATTCTGCATCTTGGTGTTTTTATTGATTTAATCTCTGCAAATTACATTAATAAAATTTTCTTTTTTACTAATAAAAAAAATAGTATTTCTGTTGACAAAAAAATAATATTTGCAAAGCTAGTTTGTTGGCACAAAAAATAAACCCAAATGTTAATTCTTCTGGTATGAAACCTGCCCTTGATGCCATTGCGTGACTGTATGTTGATAAATTTTTGGCATCAAGGATTTGGTGAGGAGCCATAAAAGAAACAGTAAACTATAAAAATGTCATTATTGTGTCAATCAACATAAAAATTTGCCAATTAATTATGTACTTAAGATGTTCTATAGATACACAAAGTATATTTAAATTAGACAGCTTGATTAACAGTTGTTCTGTAAATATGTTTAGAAAATTCATGATGCAATTGCTTGAATGATAACGTAATTGAAATATTGGTTGATACATTCTTTTTAGATATTTTGCATATATACAATTAAAGAATATTAAAAACAAAAAGGGACAACTTGAATCACATGAATCTTAAAACATTTTGAAAAAACTTAAAAACTTTTGAAATATTGATTTGTGATTATGTTTCAATTTGTAAACAATAAATGTCAATTTCAATCAAACAATCATTAATAAATTAGCCCAACGATTTAACATGAAAAAAAGCTTGTGATAAAAAGTAACAAGGCAAAGCCACAAAACAATCTATTAAGAAGACAAAAACGAATTGCACACGAGTATCCTCAATTACCTAGCGAATTCATGCCCGAATTGGACCAAACTCGATTTATCTCTTCCACCACTGTCTTCACCGAACTACTTTGCCAACATTAAATCTACAACGCCGATGTTGAATCTACGACAATGAGGCACTCCATAATCCACTAAAACTTTAGGCCCATGTTTCTCGAAATCCATCGAAGAACATTTCTCTCTTTTGTGAATGAAATAGTGAAAACAAACCCTTTGATGATGTTACTATGAAACTCGTAAATCTATCGATCACTCGCAAATCATCAAGGAAACCAATGTGTAAATACCCTTTAATGTAGAAAACCTTGGTAGCTCTCATTTCTGAGAATCTGGATGGATTCAACCCTAAAAATAACAAAGTGCTCACTTTATACTAAACAAAGTAGCAAAGACAGCTCGAACGCACACTTTAGTTCTCAAGCAGTGTGACTAAAAGGAAGCACAAACACATTAGACAACCTCTTGAGCGCAACATCCATCACTCGAGCAGTAAAACATAATTCCCAAAAGATCAATTTGCAGGCAGAGATACTGAATGAATTACATAACTGCTCGAGCACAGCAAAGTAGCAAACAATGATAGTTCAAGATACAGAATGCCAATACAAACTCTTCTGCACAGGCACAATTCCGGTTGAATTTGCCTCTAAACACTCACAGTCTCACTAAGACAAAAGAGCGAATCAAATTACAACTGAAAGAAATTTTACCAAATGGAATTGCCAATTACAAAAACTTAACACATTTCAACCAAATGTTCATGCTTAACATTTAAATTTATT